CTGCGTATTAATGACAAACTGTACTAACGAGAATTAGCCGAGATTTAAAACAATTCGTGATTATACGAGATTTTTTATTATAAAAATTCATATTCCATTTGTAGTTTAATTTTATTCTTTTCAGTTTGAAAGTAGAACGTTTACTCTTTATGAAAAAATACGATAAGATTACTGAATTGTTGTATTTGTGAATTAAACTATGTTTGAGAAATAAAATAGTAATTATTTCTTTTAATAATAAATAAATGACCCGACTAAAGCATCTCAGTGTTCTGGTCTGGCCTATTACAATGTAAGAGTGTGAAGCGTGAAAACCGAATAAAACGTGAAGATAGAAGGATTTTTATATAAGTGCTTCATTCAGACGTAATGAACAGAACATTAGGATAATAATACACGTCGCATTAGATGTCCTGAAACTGGAACCTTCAACTTTTATATAAATGGTTACAAGACACAAATGTTCATAGAATTTGTTTGTTATGAATTTCGCGCAAAGCTACACAAGGGCTATCTGCGCTAACCGTCCCTAATTTAGCAGTGTAAGATTAGAGGGAAGTCATCACCACCCACCGCCAACTCTTGGGCTACTCTTTTACCAACGAATAGTGGGATTGACCGTCACATTATAACGCCCCCACGGCTGAAAGGGCGAGCATGTTTGGTGGGACGGGGATTCGAACCCGCGACCCTCAGATTGCGAGTCGAGCGCTTTAACCACCTGGCCATGCCGGGCCATTCATCATAGAAAGAAAACCTTCTATCTTCTTCCCATTTCATCCCGACGAAAGAATGCCTACAAAATAATGAGAGCTCGTTTGTCTTATATTTTGATTTATCTCTTTTATTTTATCCTATTTACAAATAAATACGAGAACAGGTACGATTTTCTCTTGACCTTCTATCAAGAAGACAGAAAATACATAGATGAAGAAAACCTCTGTTAAATTACGAATCATTCATCAAATTGTTTCATTATCTCTCTAAGGTCTTAAAACTTGAAAGATACAATTCAATCTAGCTTAAGTAAATGGGAAAAAATACGAAAGGCCAAAAGACCAATTAGGGATTTTTCAGGCTCACATATACCAAGTCTAGACAGTCATTAAATATCCATAAGGTATAGAGAGTACAATACAGGCCTGAAGAATCTGCTTAGAAACTTTCCTCATAATATAAAAATCAATATAATGTATTCCTAATATATTCATCAAGCAGTGCAATACTACACCAACCAATGTTAGAGTTTATAGTTATATTACACACACAATACTTCCGATAAATAATGCGATATTATGTTAAGTCATTGAATCTTGTTTGTACTAAAAGCTCTACAAGTCTTTTCATGATTGAAAGCATTAAGTACGAGTTGTTGTTTGTTTTTTTCAATTAAAGAACATAATTCAAAAGCAATTGCAAATAATGATATGGATTAATTATGAAATGCGATTGTAAGTTTACGCTTGAAGGAGATTGAAACTTGAATAAGAAAGTACATTCTCTTGTCAAATATTTTTAACCATAAAAATTTATTATGGATATATATGGATGTTTCTGTATCAGAAGCTTTAGAAAAAAAAAGCCATAATAAAGGAACTTGAAGATAGTTTTTATATGCGGAAACATCTGTTAGCTGAGTTCTTGCACAGATCTTAAAATATAACGTTGATAAACGGAAACATCGGCACATGTAGATATGTAGATCTTGAAAGTCAAGTTGTTCAAAACTTGAAAATAGCGTTGATATCTGGACCAATTGGACCTACTGTGCTTATTCCACACGTAAGTTGTTGCCTGCTATACACAAAGATGCGATACCTACCACACAGAAAAGTATGGCTATTTATGAATTCTCGTGCCACTGCGAATGTCGGTACGTAGATCGCACTTCACAAAAATTGCAGGATAGAATTAAACAACATGTACCCACATCCATAAGAAATAAGAGTGTGAAAGAAAAGAATTTACCATGTCGCTCCTGTAAAACAAAAGTTCTACCACCATCAGCGATTGGCCAGCATTTACTAGTGAACCCGACTTGTGCTGACAACTACACGGATAGCAGGTTTAAAATTATTGCAAATGGTCTGTCAACCTTTCATCTCTATAAATCAGGAAATGTCACAGACCTACTGAAGGATGTGTAGATTGTATAGGAATTCTTTTTGGTGGCAAAGGACAGGTTTATGTGTTTTAATAAAGGTGGCTGGCAAAAATTACCTAATTTTCTTTGGTTTGTTTTTAATTTCCCGCAAAGCTACACGAGAGCTATCTCCGCTAGCTGGCCTTAATTTAGCAATGAAAGATTAGAGGGAAGGCAGCTAGTCAACACCACCCACCACCAACTCTTGGACTATTTTAACAATGAATATTGGGATTGACCATCACATTATAACGCCCCCACGACTGAAAGGGCGAGCACGTTTGGTGGGACGGAGATTCGAACTCGCGACTATCAAGTGCCCTAACATAATTTGAAAACATATGACACAATTTTATAAAGTAGTAGCTTTATTTTAATACCTGGTTTATTATTCAACTCAGCCAGAACTTAAAACAGGGAGTGTGTTAAGTATAACCTCTGCTTGTAGAGAACCATATAACTGGAGTACACATAATTAGGATTTGAATATAGTTTTTATATGCGGAAACATCTGTTAGCTGAGTTCTTGCATAGATCTTAAAATATAACGTTGATAAACGGAAACATCGGCTTATGTAGATACGTAGATCTTTAAAGTCGAGTTGTTCAAAACTTGAAAATAGCGTTGATAACTGGAGCAATTGTTGGTTGAGATGTTGCAAAGGAAACATCTGCTGAAGCTTTCCACCAGACACTAGTCATAGCAGAATCGTCTAGGAAATAGTACAGCTTATAAAATGAGTCAGATCAACGTAAGCCGGTTAGGCAATCACTGATTCGCATGTCCTTAAGCCGGCCTTCTTCATATTAAATGGAAATAACTCAGAGTTAGATAGTGCCTTCTTCATATCAAATGGAAATAGCTCAGAGTTAGATAGTGCCTTCTTCATATCAAATGGAAATAACTCAGAGTTAGATAGTGCCTGCTTCATATTAAATGGAAATAACTCAGAGTTAGATAGTGCCTGCTTCATAGTAAATGGAAATAGCTCAGAGTTAGATAGTGCCTGCTTCATATTAAATGGAAATAACTCAGAATTAGGTAATGCCTTCTTCATATCAAATGGAAATAACTCAGAGTTAGGTAATGCCTGCTTCATATTAAATGGAAATAGCTCAGAGTTAGATAGTGCCTTCTTCATATCAAATGGAAATAACTCAGAGTTAGATAGTGCCTGCTTCATATTAAATGGAAATAGCTCAGAGTTAGATAGTGCCTTCTTCATATCAAATGGAAATAACTCAGAGTTAGATAGTGCCTGCTTCATATTAAATGGAAATAGCTCAGAGTTAGATAGT